AAAGGTTAAGGAGAGTTTTGAAGGTCATGTATTCTGTTTTTCTTTTTAACCTATTGAGTTGAACCATTTGGCAATTCTAGTTTTTCTATTAGTGCACTACTGGATGAGCACAATTTCTTTAACTGTTTGTTGACATATATGGTCTCCTAATATTTTATTGTACCTTGATTTTGACAATCTAGAAATAACTTGGGAACTCTGGCTTTTAAAATGTGTACTTTATAAAGTTTAGATAATGGGAAATTATCTGTTCTTTGCCTGTGAAGAGCTGAGGCTTGAGCTCAGTTTATTGCGTGCTGGTTTAGCATGCACAGAGCCCCCATAAGCCTCATAGAGGAAGGCAGACACAGAAGATCAGACATCCAAGGTCATTCTTGACTCTGGTATACAGTCTTAAAAAAAAAAAAAAAAACTTCTTGTAAAATAACCTCCTTCACCCAGTCAGGTTGTATTTCATTTTCTCGTGTTATAATTGGTCACTTATGTTGATGTTCTTCCATTAGAATGTAAGTAGGTTCCACGAAAACCAGAGTCTCCATCTGCTCACCTCTGTCCCATGGTATTATGTCCCAGGCCCTCAGTATGTATTTGTTGAACTAGCCCAAGTGCAAAGCTGAGTAGGAATTTTCATGTACTGAGTGCTGAATGCTTTATTTTGGAATGAGTAACTATCCTGACATTAGCTAATGGGGGTCAGACAGGCTCTGGTGTATTCCAGGCCCTGTGCCCCCAAGTACTAGGGTTACAGACATGCATCACCACACCCGACTGTTCAGTTCATTCTAAATTCTGTTGTTTCTTGTAGGTGATCAGAGGACTGCTGAAATTTTGGCCAAAAACATGCAGTCAGAAAGAGGTAGGTTTTAATAAAGAATACCGTGCATTGCAGTCAGACTTTGCAGTCTTGACCTGCTCCAGCGTGTGGGGAGCGGGGAGGCGGTTAGCACAGCTCTGCTGTGCCCACTTCCTTGTGTGCAGGTGTGCCTGTCTCCACAGCTTCTAAATTAGTGTCATTTGTTGTAAAATTTTTAACACTTGTTTTTTAACCTAGGTGATGTTTTTAGGAGAAATTGAAGAAATCTTAGATGTCATTGAACCAACACAATTCAAAAAGATTGAAGAGCCCCTTTTTAAGCAGATATCCAAGTGTGTCTCCAGTTCTCATTTTCAGGTATCAGCTTCCTTCCTGGGTGACATTCTGATTTGTTCCATCCTTTTCCACTATGAATTTTGATGTTTCTCATTATCTTTTGTAGGTTGCAGAAAGAGCACTGTACTTCTGGAATAATGAATATATTCTTAGTTTGATTGAAGAGAATATTGATAAAATTCTGCCAATTATGTTTGCCAGTTTGTATAAAATTTCCAAAGAACACTGGAATCAGTAAGTTTTTTATTTTTGTTTTTTTAAATATATGAATAGCCCTGGCTGGCCTTGAAATCATGTATTACTCTTTTTTTTTTTTTTAAGCCATTTGAAACCTCTACTGCAGGCTACCTAACATCACAGTTTCAGATATTAAAGTTGTATGCGAACGCTTCTTAGCACATGGTCTCACCAAAGCGTGCTCCAGTACACTTTCGGAAACATCATGTGGCTGAGCTGCACCTGGCCTCCCAAGCTGGGAGCTTAAGACTATACATTCCAACATCTGTGATATTTTCATCTTGCTACCCAGGGTTTCAGATGAGACACACATGAAGAGAACCAGAATACGCTTAGCTATGTTAAACCTCAGCATAACATAGAGGAAAGGTGTAAGCTTTGGAATCAGATCATACATGCACCCCTAGCTCGTGTAACCAGAGTTGCGGACACCAGCCCAATTCAGAGATGAAAGTGTGGTGTTTCCCGGCTGCTGGCCGCTAACCCTGAACTGGTTTCTTTCCTTCAGGACCATTGTAGCGCTTGTGTACAATGTGCTGAAAACCCTAATGGAGATGAACGGCAAGCTTTTCGATGATCTTACTAGTTCCTACAAAGCCGAGAGACAGAGGTACTTGATATACTTTATAATTCAGTGTTACTCAGTTCAGAAAGGTCTATCTCTTAGTTTGTTGGATCTATGGTGACTACTTTAGTCATTATAATTTGAAAGCCTCTGAGCACTAAAGCCGTTGCCCAGAAAAGTAATCCTGGTATTTTTATAAATTTGTTAAGGGTGACATGACTCTCTTCCTCTAATGGTTAGATTGTGCTCTTCTGTTGGTCTCATGCTGAACCTTAAGCTAGTACCATGTACACTGTATTTTACACAAACCGTTTGTCCACACTGCCTTCCCTGACAGTTGCAGTGCTGTGGACTACCAGCAGGTGGTATTGAGGTCAGCATACTGTCACGGCCCTGGCTTAGGATGACAGTTACCTGTTGTTCCTTGTGCTGTATTTTAGGGGATGAATGAATTCATATCCACCTTAGGAACATGCCTTAGTGACCATTTCCTCATAAGGTGGGCAGTGACTACTCCACCCATCAAGGCTGCCTGTCACCAGCTGTTTTGTTTACATAGAAAAGATCCAGCCCTCCAATAATTTACTGAATGCATTCTTCTCTTAATAGTTCACCAGGGCCTAGTGGGCCAGGACTGGGGAAGTAGAGGCAGTCAGATCTCTGACTCTACGGATAGGACTATATAGTTGAGACCCTCTGTCAAACAAAACCCCACAGAGTTCAGGTGGAAATTAGGAACACAGTCTGAGCCCAGAAAGCAACAGGCAGAAAGAGGTGAGTAGGGAACTGTAAATTGGTCACATGACTGTCGCCAGATTCTTTAAAATGAGCTGTAGAAATAAAAGCCCATGTTTACGGCCTGTACCCAAACTGAACATGAACTGATGGGTGGGTAGATTGCCATTCTGTGGGTAGGAGGAAAGGTGGGCTTCTGCATCGCTGACCTGGAGCCACTCTAGTGACTATGGTAAGCTAATCCATGTGTGGTCACATAAGCTGCCTACAACCACTTGGGAGGGCGACAGAGATGAGGTATTCCACACAGTAAGCTGCCAATGAGTGACTTCCTTGAGCTTCTGATTAAAACTGTTGGTTTCTCCTCAGAGAGAAAAAGAAAGAATTGGAACGTGAAGAATTATGGAAAAAATTAGAAGAGTTGAAGCTAAAGAAGGCTCTAGAAAAACAGAACAGTGCTTATAACATGCACAGTATTCTCGGCAGTACAAGTGCCAAATAAAGATCAGCTCCCACCTCTGCTGGGTGGGCAGTTTTGTACACTTTTTTGGAATCTATAAAAACTTCAAAGCAAACCTCATCAGTATAATATAATTAGGAGGCCGGTTTTTCCTGGCGAGTGTAAGCGAAAGAAATCTGGACTAAACATAGCCCTGTGATGTATCATGGCCACAGTCTATTGTAACCTTTGCCTAATCATCGACTGTCACCGTCATCGTGTTAGGAGCGAGGTTGTTGTGGGAGTGGGGAGAATCACCACTTGAACTTCTGACTGTGCTGCACACAGCGGGGCGTCTTCTGTGCTTTCACAGTGCTGCAGCCCTCGTCACATCCGAGGAAAGAGCTCCGTAAGATGAACTGAGGTGCTGTCCTTCCCCTCTCCTAGGGAGAGGGTGGGATAAGAGCCCACATCTTTGAAGACACTGCCATTCTTGGGTTCTGCAACACCTTGCAGTTCCAGGCTTCTGAAGCACAAAGTATGAAAGCTGGGGAAAGTAAACCAAAATTCTGACTGCTCCCAACCCCCCTTCAGCAGCAGCACCCCAGAGTGTAACAAAGTAGCATCAGCAGGTGGACCCTAGGCTCACCTCTCCTTCATTCCTCTCCAAGGCTGGAGGCAGGGCCTTCCCAGTCCTCGACTGCCCGACCCCAGGCCTGCCTGCAGGGTGGAGGCTCTGAGTCCCACGGTGTGATGCAGACTGCTAGCTGTCACTGCCTGGCTTTATTTAAAGGAAATGCATTGACTATGTAGAAGCCTTGTATGTTCTTACCTGGTCAGGTATTTCTCACATGTTGTTATCAGTACCATTCCAACCTCTTGCCTTGCCGTTGTATGGAAACCTGTTTTATAATGAAAGATCTTCACTGGGGATTGAGCAGCATTTAATAAAGTCTATGTTTGTATTTTGCCTTATGTCATCTGCTCTTTTATAACTGGGAGATATTTATAGAAAATCACTACTTGTGGATGTATTCTAATTAAAATTAGAATGCTTGTGGTCCATGGATTTGTAATCTGGCCATTTATTGAAATGTAACCATTGAAAGAATCTTTTATGAAATCCCAAGCTTCATGTCCCTCTGTGTTCTAATTTGGTTTATCATTAAAGCTAGTTTTAATTAAAACAGGCAGGGGAGGGGGAGGAGGTGAGTCTCAATCTACAACAGCAGCAGTTCTGTGACGGGCTGGGAGACTGTAACATGGTTTCAACCAACCACCAGTTAAAAATGAGCACGGGATTCCTGCTGCTGTGATAGCAACCTGGACAGCCTCCATGACCCTGGAAAAACCTTCCTTGCAGTACAGTGGCTTTTAATTTTTGCCACATTATCAAGCAGTGAACTTTCCAGGGTCACTGGGTCATCCAGTCACACAAGCTGCTCCCTTAAGGCCCTGTGCTGCTCACAGCTGGGACAACCAACCCTACCATAAAACACAGGCTTGCCTTTCCAGAAAGTGGGAGTTTGGTTTCTACTCAATCAGTAGGCAAAAATACTTCCTAATTATCTAAAGCAAATGTAATAGCTTAACTTTTCACAATACAGGAAAGCTCTAGTGTTCGCTGAGGCAGATTTCATTAGGTATTTAATTATTAAAGTGATACGCCACTTAGAGTTTTGTAACCATGCTAAGCACACACCCTACCACCAGGGCTGCACTCTTGCCCCTAGATAGACCTGGAGCCTTTCGCTTACTTTTAATGTTGTTGATGTGTTTATGCTCAGCATTACATACTGTAATGGCATTTTATTTAAAAAATTGTCTAAACTCTAAATTCATGTACATCTATGAAACAGAAAGGTAGCAGGGGATGTTTCATTATACAAGTTTATTTCGAGAGATTCAGCCAAAACAGTTTCTTGCTGCTAAATTTGGAGACAAAAATGCCTAACTTATCCATGTGAGCAGTTCCCTTCAGATTCCCCAAGGCCTAATTGTGCATTCTTTGAATGTTACCATATTCCCTCTGGACACACAATTTGGAAAAGACAGGGTTTGGTTTAGATAAGTGCTATTTGTCAAAGCCTTAAAGGCCACCATTTTAGGTGAGTGTTTCTTCAGGACACAGTGACCTCCTAAGCAGCTTATTCATAGTGTGGTACGTCCAGCTTACCTTCTCTGGAAGCAGTGGTGACAGACCTCGGGTCAGAGCCACCGTGGTGCCGTTTGGGTGGGTGGTCACAGTGTGAACACGTCCAGTTTAGGGTATTCACACTCACTCCTTTTGTATTAGCCCAACTTTATTTACCTGTTAATGAAATCAAGGTACACTAAGTAGGCACCTACTATACACATCTGTGCAAGTGCTTCCAGCAGCGACCACTGAGCTCACACCTCCGTCAACACAGCCCATCACAAATGTCATCACTAGTTTCTAGTAGCCTTGAAAGTCTCATGTAAGACCAGGCACTGTGGTACTGGCTTTTGTTCTCAGCAATGGGAAGGCAGAGGCAGGCCTGGTCTAAACAATGAGTTCCACCAGGGCTACATTAAAAAAAAAAAAAGTGTCATCTAGACTCTGACAAGTTGCTAAGTAACAACAGTAGACGGTGTAAAAGTCATGACGAATTTTGTATACAGGGCATATCTGTCCACTTTAAATAAAAAAATCTAAGGTAAAGAGGGAGCTTAACTATTTAATGAACAAATGAGAAAAAGCTGCCTTCCACAAACCCCCTCCAAGGCACTAGACAGCTCTGTAAAATGTCTGTTAATAATTTAAGTACTTAAATAAGTTTCAGGCTATTCATTGGATGTTTGCCTGTGGGCTCGAACAACCTCCTGAGCCAGGTTTGACCATCCAGTTTGAAAGACTGTCCTTCCCTGTAAGGTCCCTTCAAGTGAGTACAGGATTGCTGGTGGCTTGGTTTGTCCATGGGAGAATAAGGCTTCTGTCGGTTCGGAGTGCCGGGACATGGCGGCTTCAGCTTATGTGGTTTGTTGCCTGGCCTCTTCTTTTTAGGTATCGTTTCCTGATTTTGATCATCCACTTCACACTTAGTTTGGCAAACTCTGCTGCTTTAAATAAGGCAAGGAAAGCCCCGCAGAGGAGTGCAATGGTGTTCCAGGGATTGGCCGTGATGATCTGTGGAACAGAGGAAAATGGGGTTGTTGGTTTGCATCGACCCTGACTCGACTCTGTGGTTTAGATTTTGGAGTCACCAGCACCATGTGTGTCCACTCATTCAGACTTAATAAATTCCCCCCAAGTCTTCTCATTTCAGTTACCGGTTTCCAGATGTGGCCCCTACACTCATCACGTGGACTCTGCCATTCCGCCTCTGCGCCTTCCTTCCTTCCCCTGCTGGGATGTTGTCCTGTCTGGACTTTATAATCCTTCCAGCTCAGCACTTTCTCCAGCCACTCAGCCAAAAACCTTTCTTTCACTGAAGTTGTTTATCCCATGGAGCCCCGTGACAGCCGTTTACTGTCTAGCAATGATTTAAAGCAATAGCTTGGTCTCCATTGAACACTCTTATCCCTGTGCAGTGCTAATGGATGGACTCAGCCTTGTGCATGCAGGACAAGGACTCTTCCATAGAGTCTTTTCCCTCACCAAACTTAGGTGAGTTCTGGAATTCCCACGTGTGGCTAAAAAAAAAAAAAAGCACTTGCAAGCCTGTTCACATATGCACAGTGGCCATACCTCTGCCTTCAGGACTGCTGGGGTGCATGCTTCAAGGGACTTCAAGGGCTCTACTTGGACCAAAATAAGCCTCTCCTAACAGGTAGCTCAGGTGAAGAGCATCAGGGCACATACCTTACGTGCACAGCTGTAAACCAGTTCCTTTCACCCTAGCTGTCCTAGCCTCAAGCCTCACCCCTCACACAGAGCCTAGGCCAAGGGTGACAGCAAAAATACATCCATCTCACAGACTCCATCCTGGGATCTGAAGTGTCCGTGTTTGAGCTTTAGAATCTCTTCCCTATTGCCATGATCATCTCAGGATGTCTTGTGATGACGTGAAGAAGGCCACTCTTAGCAGTACTTACATCCTGGACCTTCTGGATGAAGGGATCTTTCCATTCAAAGACCACAAAGAATAACTGAGTATTCTTCTCGGCGGCCGGCCTCTGGTCAATGTAATTAACCACACTGGTCTAGGTGCAGAACAGACAGAGAATTAGCACTTCTGGGCCCTCCCTTGCCTGGACCTAATGAGAAGAAGCAGGAAGGGACTCGGCCCTTGGCTCTCCTAACAGCATCTTCCAGGGAAGGAAAGTCAAGTCTCATATACAAGACTTTTTCACTGGTACCAGAGCTGGCTGGGGCTTTACAGTTCTTTGGGAGAGAAAAGATTACAATGCCTGCCATCAGATGTTGGGACTCACAATTAAGCCATATTCAATCTACTACAGAAGACAAATTCAAAAGTCCCAAATTTCAAAATACTTGGGTCTTAAGGGATAAGCAGTCTAACCCTTCAAGTCTACAGGGACAAAGTGTGGCCCCCACTCCATGTGACAAGGCAGCTCTGTAAGTACTTAGTAGGTATAAGATCTGCCAGTCAGCTATGAAAGAAGCTCCGTGAGATAATGGTGAGAAGACAAGCTTGAAAGGCACAGCCACCTCTGATCTGATGCTCACATTGGCCACAGAAAGTCAATGCTGAGATTTACTGCGGGCTGCCCGTGAGTGCGGTGACTAAGGACACGCCAAGCCTTTGTGGGACTGGGCAGTCATGTTACAATAGCATTTCGCAGTCGTTTTCAGGGTTTGTCACCACCGAAGGCAGGAAAAATCCTGTCCCTTGACTAGACCTAGGTGCCAGGGTTCCACGTGCCCAGAGAGAACTAGAAAAACCACCACTAAGGCAGAGGTAGGGCTAGGTTATTTCCAATTGTAATGGAGCAGTACTCCCGAAGAAGCAAGCAGATCCCTTCCCATCCCACAGACGTGCCTTTTCTGTCTTCCCCTGTTCTTCCCAGATCACAGTAAAAGGCC